CCCTTATATGCATTTCCTCTTGCTTGGAGCAAGTATCAGCTAGCTATCCATCTATTATGTCACCATCTCTGTTGAATACTGAGTAAGTCAATCCACAACACTGGTAAAAGTTAAAGTGATGGGAAAACAACACTGGATGTCAACTGGATTCTGAAGACAATGCAACCAAAATCTCCTCACTAATCCTCTTATTTGCCCCATTTACATGCAAAATAATAGGGATAACAAAATAAAACCCCACAAGCCTTCTATGAGAGTATACTCAGGGAAGATAAGTAATCATCCAACACTAGCCCAGGGATCTCTCAGAAAATAATTGATTCTCCCATGAGTTACCTCACCAGCACAGCGAACACAGATAAATCACCACCAGTGGTATAGAGCGGGGGAGGGGGGGTGTCAAACTCTGGGTTGTGGCTTATAAGGGCAAGCAGCTAGCTGGCCAGGAGATGGCCTGAACATACAGAGGCATGGGCGCTTGCTGTTCCCAGTAGCCGCAGTAGACTGTTGCCATCCAGTGGGAGCTGTGGGAAGCGATATCCTATCTGCACCAATTCTCACAGCTGGGAATGGTGTACTGTGGCCACTGCGAAGGTGAGCGTCCATGCTGCGAGCGCTCAGGTAAACAGAGTGTCTCCCAGGCAGCTAGCGGCTTGCCCTTACAAGCCACAATCCAGAGTTTGAAAACCCCTTATATAGAGGCTTCTGACACAGGTAAAAGAACCAGTACACTCAGGATACCTCAGATTCATCCACTTTCAACAGAAGATCAAATGCAAAACACAACCAAAGCCATTGCTAACACACACTGAACCTCGCTAGTCTGGCAACATCCATGGTCCAGCATGATTTCTGTTAGTCAGATGTCCACTTATCATGGGTGTGGTCAAGTTTCCTGTTGTCCCATTACGTTTTTTTTTAACAGCCACCAGTTCTGGCTCTCAGTGGTCAGTGCTGTTATTTAGCTCTAATTTACCCCTAAATGTCTTCTAAGAGTCCACTAAGCAGTGGAAGTGTTGGTAATGATGCTGGACAATATTGACCTCCCATGGTTCAGCAAATTCTCTGGTTTGGCACTAGTCAGGCCCCAAGAGGACTGGAATAGAGAGGTTCAATCTGTACTTTCACAACTAAATTGGTTCAGATAGGGTCAAAGAAACCAGAGGACTCTACATACTTTACAGCAGTGTTTCTGAAAGTGTTCTGCGGAATCACTTAGAGAAACACATTAACTGGCTGCCCCGGCGTGTTTATTTACGGGTGTCGTGGCCACAGAGCCTCGTGGCTCCCATTGTCTCTGTTGCACACTTTGCAGCCAAGCAGAGCAGCAGCAGGAAGTGGCGGCCCAGCCCACGCCACTTCCCGCGGCTCTCCTTGGCTGCAAAGGACAAAATGGAGCCAGTGGCAGCCGCAAGGCTCCGTGGTCGCGGCACCAGTAAATAAACAAACAGGGACAGCCAGTTAATGTGTTTCTCTAAGTGATTCCACAGAACACATTCAGAAACACTGCTTTACAGTACCCCTAAAGTTGTTTAATCATAATTTCTGGAATAATTTTCCCTCAAGGGACTGAACTAGATGTGGGTCCCTTCCAGCCCCACATTTCTATGGTTTCTATGATTCAAAGGTATCATCTCATTTGAGAACTGAAATGTTAACTTTGCATTTCTTGGGTAACTAGCACTAGAGAAGGTCTTTTTTGTTTTATGATCTAACAATTTTGGCAAATAATATGTCTTTAAATTCCTAATGTGGGCCTGCAAATTTAACTTCACATTAACAATTATTTTTTATGGCAGATAAAAGTTAAAATCATGTTTGTCTAATTAGAATTATTTTCTATATTTCCTTTTTCCTGTATACATAAAGGTCTGATTATCCTCCTTTAATGTACAGGCAGTCCCCGACTTACGCGGATCCGACTTATGTCGGATCCGCACTTACGAACAGCACTTTTCTCGCCCCGGAGCTCACGGGCGGCGGGTCGCCACCCGTGTCCTCCGGGGTGAGAAAAGCTTCTCCCGGTCTCCCTGGTCTGCAGGGGCGGTCCAGCAAAGCCGCTGGACCCCCCCAGCAGACCAAGGACACCCGAGCAAAGCCGCCGCCTGGGCGGCTTTGCTCGTTTGCCCAGGAGCAAAGCCGCCCAGGCGGCAGCTTTGCTTGGGTGTCCCTGGTCTGCTGGGGGGGGGGGGAAAGAGAGTGTGTGTGCTGGCTCCTGCTGGGCACGTTTCTGAGAGAAGCCACACACTGTCTCTTTAAGACAGGGAAAGCTGTCCTGCTCTGTTGTCTCCTCCCTCCCCGCCTGCAGAGATGAGGTATGGGGGGGGGCGTGCGTGCGTGTGGGAGAGAAACAGTGTACTGCCTCTTAAGACAGGCACTCCTCTGAGTCACTTACAATCCATGCTTCAGATTGGAGCAACTTGGCTGTGTGTCTCCCTCTCCCTGACCCCTTCTCTGGAGAGATGAGACTTCAACACTCCCATACACCTCCACTCCCACTCCCTCTGCACAGCTAGCTGGAGAACCCTGGAAGCAGCTTGGATGCAAGGTAGAGCAAGGAGGGTGAGGGATAGCTGAACACATGCTTCCAGCTGTAAGAATTCATGCTCTGCTAATCAGCTGAGTAGGCTTGGGAAAAATGCTTGGGGGTCTCAATCCGGCCCCCAAGCCTGATTTTGCCCACCCCTGGCTTAAGTAGAATGAGAGTGAGACCACTGCTGCTTTTGATAACTCCATCCAGGTCATATAATCTAAAATGTAATAAGAAAGGTTTGTACCAAAAAAACCAAAAACAAAAACCCCAAAAC